CAGTAAGTTACCAAGATAAAACTGTACAGCCTAAGTTATGCTATTATATGGAGAGTAAAGAACAGTAAGATACCAAGATAAAACTGTACAGCCTAAGTTATGCCCTATATATTTAGAGTAAAGAACAGTAAGTTACCAAGATAAAACTGTACAGCCTAAGTTATGCTATTATATGGAGAGTAAAGAACCATAAGTTACCAAGATAAAACTGTACAGCCCAAGTTCTGCTATTATATGGAGAGTAAAGGACAGTAAGTTATCAAGATAAGTTGTATAGCCAAGTTGGATCTTTTCTTGTAAATCAGTAGAATTTTTTACTGCTTAATTTTTGACTTATTGATCAATTTGTGATTATTTTCACCTGTGAATTGAAAAATGGTAATAATCAAAAACTAATTTTGATGAGTTGATTATTTTTTTGACATTTGATTTCTTCATAATTTTGTTAAATTAATTATTTAAAATAATTATGATTATAGTTAACTAATTATATTTTGGTAATTGTCCAGTTCTGGTTGTGATGTATGCATTTCTGAATGATAGATTAGAACATGTTCTTCTCTAATTGTTTACTTTACAGAATTAAAGAACTATAAACTTATTTTCATTCTTTATGTGAAATGTTTTTTTTTATTCATCAGTTTATATTTCTGTAAGATTTGTATAGAAAGTAGAATGTTATAAATGTGCACTTGGTGAGATAAATTTATCAAGAATTTTTTTTTTTACCTAAAGATATGCAGATGAAGTTTCTTAAAAAGAGTAACCAAAGTATGCAGACCATCATCTGTCAACATTGCCAAAGGAATACAGGCCATCAGCTGTCAACACTGCCCAAAGTATACAGACCATCATCTGTGAACACTGCCAAAAATATACAGACCATCATCTGTCAACAAGCGACGTTAGTACATTTCTTTTTGTTTTTCATTCAAAGACAATTTGGTTTAAATGATTAACATTTATTTTATTTTTTCTGAAGGTGTGAAACGACACTTCTGTCAGAGAGTAAGTATCAGAAATTGAGATTTCTATAGAGTCTTATGCTTTGTGTTTCAGGAAATTGAGTACTACTAATTATACAAGGCAAATGAGTAGTACAATAAATCCAGAAGAGCTTCAGAAGTTTAGATTATTATCACAGAAATGGTGGGATTCACGAGGTGATTTTGCTGTACTCCGAGCTATGAACTCGTTGCGTATTCCACTCGTTAGAGATGGATTGAAACACACAGGTATTGCCTCTTTAAAAGCTACACTGGGACCAAAGCCTTTAGACGGTTTGAAAATATTGGATGTGGGTTGTGGAGGTGGACTGCTGTGTGAGGTGAGACAGGAATATATTTGCACATAGTAATTTTTTTCTTTAGGATGTGAAGACGAAAGATAACACAAGATGTATACGTGAGTGAGATTCTTTAGGATGTGAATACAAAAGATAACACAAGATGTATGCGTGAGTGAGATTCTTTAGGATGTGAATACAAAAGATAACACAAGATGTATGCGTGGGTGAGATTCTTTTGGATGTGAATACGAAAGATAACACAAGATGTATGTGTGGGTGAGATTCTTGAGGATGTGAACATGAAAGATAACACAAGATGTATGCGTGAGTGAGATTCTTTAGGATGTGAATACGAAAGATAACACGAGATGTATGCATGGGTGAGATTCTTTAAGATGTGAATACGAAAGATAACACGAGATGTATGAGTGAGTGAGATTCTTTAGGATGTGAATACGAAAGATAACACGAGATGTATGCGTGTGTGAGATTCTTTAGGATGTGAATACGAAAGATAACACGAGATGTATGCATGGGTGAGATTCTTTAGGATGTGAATACGAAAGATAACACGAGATGTATGAGTGAGTGAGATTCTTTAGGATGTGAATACGAAAGATAACACGAGATGTATGTGTGAGTGAGATTCTTTAGGATGTGAATACGAAAGATAACACGAGATGTATGCGTGGGTGAGATCCTTGAGGACGTGAACACGAAAGATAACACAAGATGTATGCATGAGTGAGATTCTTTAGGATGTGAACACGAAAGATAACACAAGATGTATGCGTGGGTGAGATTCTTGAGGATGTGAATACGAAAGATAACACAAGATGTATGTGTGGGTGAGACTCTTGAGGATGTGAACACGAAAGATAACACAAGATGTATGCATGGGTGAGATTCTTTAGGATGTGAATACGAAAGATAACACGAGATGTATGTGTGGGTGAGATTATTTGGCACTTTAGGCATTATGTTAAGATGTAAAACAGTTTTTTGTCATGTGATAAATCTCTTTCAATCCATTAGTGTGCTTATGCTGGTCCTATTCATTTTGTGTCTCACCTAGTATAAAATTTGTTTGAAGTTAAACCCGATTTTGTAGAATTAACCCTATGATGATGGGTCACATGTCAAAGGCCATGTCATCACGTTTGTTGACTTGCTTTCAAAATGTTATTGAACTATTTTATGAATTTATGTCAATAAGTTTATCAAATTCTAAATTATAATTCAAATTTCAGTATTATACATTAGTTAATTTGTTAATTTAAAAGTAAATATTAAAATATACAGCTAAACATTGATTTTTCTGTGTCACGGGGTCTGTTAAAAGCAGCACTGGTTCAAACTAGATCTTTGTGATAAGGTAAGTCTTTAGTGAACTCAAAATTTTATATTCTTTTAGACCCAAATAAGCTTAGTTACTAAGCTTGATAAATTATAGTGCAATTCTATGCTATTGATATAGTAATTTATGTTTTTTTGGTAATTCAACTGTATATATATAATTACCTAAAAACATTTTCTTTTCACACCCTCCATTTGAGAAATTTCATAAAGCTTAGCAGTCTACGACAAGCAGCAAGTGAGTACAAAGGTCGTAACTAGAAGAGATGATTGTTTACTTTACTTCTTTATTTAATGTTCTATGTTTAAGAAAAGTTTAAGAACTTATTCCAAAATAGCAATAATGTATAATAATTGAAATGTGACTGCATTTTACAAAATACTAGTCCACTGAAACACAGCCAAGACAAGTTACTTTGTAAAGACTAAAGGTCAGTTTTATATTATTGGATACGGTATCGTGGGTGCGCTGTGTCATTGTAACTTATGTATTGTTAGCCAGGCATGGCTGGAAGGTAAATATAATTAAAATAATTAATATATATATATATATATAAATGCATAATGTTATGAGATTTAAGCTATTTAGACTAAACATTTGTGTTTGTGTTATAATCTGTATCATTCTAGAATGAAAAAAGTGTAATTTGTATTTATTTCCTAATTTTTTTATGTTGGTTACTAGGCTGGTCAAATTGACAGACCCCATAGAGTTAGAGTAGAGAAAATAACAGAAGAAATATAAAGTTATACTTAAAACAAATGTTTGAAATGTATTTAGGAAGTTTTAGAGATTACACAAATAATATTTGAGATTTTGGGGACGAATGATATTAATGACCAGAAATAGATTTCAGTTTGATTAGAGAAAAATATGGCTTTAAAATTTCAAATCAAAGGAAATGAATTGTGTTTTAGTTAAAGCCATTTTGAATCATGGGAAAAAATAATATTTAGTATAAAAACAACAACAACTGAGAAACTTATTTCAAATATTGTATGACTTTATATGTATATTTTCAGTAAATTAAAAGTAAATTGGATATTTCTTTGTCTGTTGTAAAATCTCTATTTTGCTCATAGAAACTGTTATATCAAACATTTTTCTGCTGCCTTATGTCTCCTTGTCAGCCCTTAGCAAGACTAGGTGCAATCGTCACAGGAATTGACCCACTTCAAGAGAATATTGAAGTTGCTAAGCAACACTCTGCCCAAGATCCTCAGATTAGTGGTCAGATTACTTACCTGGTGTCTAGTGTGGAAGAACAGGTTCAAAACCAGCCATCTTATTATGATGCAGTAGTAGCAAGTGAAGTGGTTGAACATGTGGACAACGTGGAGGTTTTTATCAGCTCAGCTGTAGATTTAGTCAAGGTTTGTTTTTCAATAGTCTATGTAATATCATATGAAGCCTTCTAAATCTACACAGTCCAAGACATGTCAGGTTCCGACAGCTTTATGTTTAGTCAGGAGTTGGTCTTTACTAAACTATAAAATATTATACCTAACCAATTTCAATCTACCGACCAGGTCTTGTGTCAGGTTTGGACAGATGTAGGTTTAGTCAGGGGTTGGTCTTTACTAAACTATAAAAACTTATACCTAACCGACTAAACCTACATCTGTCTAAACCTGAAACACATCCTGTGGTTTGTGTAGTGAAAGTGGTTAGGTATAATATTTTATAGTTTAGTAAAGACCAACCCCTGACTAAACCTACATCTGTCTAAACCTGACACACATCCTGTGGTTTGTGTAGATTGAAAGTAAGGGTTGGTCTTTACTCCTAGCTACTTTCAGTCTACAGTCCAGGACTTGTTTGAGGTTCTGAAACAGTACTACCTCCTCTCACGCAAAGCTGTCTCAACCTCAACATCACACCAGTCTTTTATACCCCGTCATATACTTTGTTTCACTTTTTTGTTTTAGAAATTTTTCTGTTTCCAAATTCTACTTTGTTCATATGAATTCAAGATTTAATATGGGGGATCATGATATTCCCGCATTAGTAGACAATGGTTCTAACATGACTCCCTAGTTCTCAGGATCGACAATGTCTGCTTGGGAAGCACAGGCTTTACTTCATGGGGAGTTCGTGTCTTACATTCTGCTGACGGTTTTCCTTTCACTTTACGATTTTTGTGAAAAGGGATATAACTATTGTGTGTAAATTGTCTTTCTATGCCACTTTCCACCTGTTACAATGATTGTCTTTCTATGCCACTTTCCACCTGTTACAATGATTGTCTTTCTATGCCACTTTCCACCTGTTACAATGATTGTCTTTCTATGCTACTTTCCACCTGTTACAATGATTGTCTTTCTATGCTACTTTCCACCTGTTACAATGATTGTCTTTCTATGCCACTTTCCACATGTTACAATGACTATATGCAATCTGCTGGATTAGGTATTGTTCTTTTACCAGGAGATCTTTGGTAAGTTTTTCAGTGTGTATTTCTCACTCTCTGTGGGTTTACCCATGATCAGTGACTTTGTGTGAGCCTGTGTGGATAAACCTAGTTTCACACTCAATAATTTACATCATTCATGTCTTCTCTGCTCAGTGTTGGGTAAGTTAGATTTTATACTTCTTTGACCATCTAGGTTAATTTAGTTTGAACTTGCATTTAGAGTTTTGTGTCCTTTGTTTTTGTTTGCATTTTTACTTCTTTTCACTGTTAATGTTATTTTGTTTGTAAGTTCCTATTTATTTTACTACTAGTCACGTCTAATTGTGGATTAGAATCGAATTAAACTTTGTTATTGTTAACTGGGTACCTTTTTATTCTCATGTTCTTTAAGGTCAGTTTTATTTTTGTGTCTTTTGTCATATAGATTCTTTTCATGGACATGTATGTTTGATATTTAAGGATCGTTTATCTTCTAAGTTCCTTTAGTGGTTTTGTACTTTGGTGTTTCTTATTTTTTTCTGTTTTAGGTCGAATTTCATAGTTTTGCAGGTTTATTTTTCTGTACTCTGTAGACTTTACGCATTTCTACATTTTGTTAGCTCGTTACTTTCTCTCAGTATGTTTAGTTTGTGTCTGGCTACACTTCATGACAATTCCTTGGGTTTTACGGTTCTGTCTGTGAGTTTCTGCTTTCCGTTTTTCTCCCCCTCTATCCACTTCCCAGATCTCCTTCCCTCCTCCTTGGGATCATACTTCGTCCAATCATCTTGATGAGTCTGCTCGAGACCTACTACACAAAAGAGCTATCGTACAGGTGGTGCCCACTCAACTGGGATTTTACTCCCATCTATTTGATGTATCCAAAATACACAGGAGATTGGAGTCTCATCACAGCTCCTTTCTGGCTGTATTCTTATCTTGCTTCACTTTGGAGTTCTACCTCTTCCTTATGTGGGTTTTTGCCCCAGTGTCACATCATTTTTCTTCAGTTCATCCATAAAGGTTTTGTTTTCCAGTTCTTTCTTCATCTCTACACGTTTTATTGAATGATATGCTCTTTTCCACATCATCTTCACTTGCTGGGTCTTCAGACTCCCTATTACATGGACAACTGGCTTCTGCTCATCTCTTCCTATGCCCAGTAAATCACTTGCACCTGCTTACTTCTTTGAGAAGATGCTTGAGTGGGGTTTCTCATTAAGTTGGAGAAGTCCTTTGTTACTCCCTCACAGTATGTTATTCATTTCGGGGTTCTCTTCACTTCCCATCTCAGTCGAACCCAGCCTTCTCCACTTCAGCTCTGTGATATGGAGTCTGCTGTTATGAAGGCCTTATCTTCTCCTCTCTCTTTTGGGGTTGTGGGCTTCCTTGGAAGCTTTAATTCCCTTATGTCAGGTGCACATGCATTCCCTTCATTGGATGCTTCTCGCCTAGTGGAACTTCCCCCAAGATCCTTTGGATCATCCCATCTACCTTCTAGCTGGGATTATGGCCATCCTTGCTTGACAGGGACTTGAATATGGTAGGAGTTCCCATTCCTTTGCCTTGTACCGAGTTTCCTCTGTTTACAGACGCTTCCTTGGTAGGCTTTCCTTGATTCCCCAGAGATTTCGGTTCAGTAGTCAGTCAAAGTGGCTCTGTATCATTTCCTTCTGTTCCTGCAGAAGTGGGTGGGTATGGATCATTCTGTCAGTTCTACTGTCATCAGCTATGGTACCAAGCAATAGGGAACCAAGCCAGATCTCTGTGTTTTCAAACTCTGGATATCCTGTATTAAATGACCAACCACAACATGACTGTGCTGATGTGTTATGTTCCTGGAATTGTGACTCTTGTGGCCAATCACATCCCAATCAGGTTCTTCCCAGGAAGTGGTCCCTTCATCCTCGGGTTTTTCTGTGGGTGTGTTCTTAACTCCACATATATATGTGTTTCTCGCTCACTGGATGCCAAACTTCCTTCCTTTTTGGTCTCCAGTTCCTCATCTCTTAGCTCTGGGAGTGGATGTTTTCAGTCCAGATTAGACCTATATGCGTACCCTCTGGTCAGACTCTTTGTCTGGGTCTTTTCTCTTATCCAGATCACACCTTGTTGTTTTCTGCTGGTTGCTCCATTTTGGCCAGCTCATATGTGGTTCCTTCTGCTCTGGCCCTTACTGGAGCAACAGTCCTGTCCTTATCTCTGTTCTGGTTGTTCCTCTGACAACCTCAATTGGATATTTTTCACCCCAATGTCACCACACTCCAGCTTCATGTGCGATTTTTGTCCAATCCCATGCCTCAACTCTGGGACTTGCCCCTCATGTAGCATCTCACCTTGCCTGTTCCATTCTCCCTTTTTCCTTGTCTGTGTACCAGAGGCTTTAGTCTTACTTCAGACCATCCTTCTGTTCCTCACCTGTCCCAGTTCAGGGTTTATTTGTCCCAACTGTTACTCTTTTTAGGGCCGTTCTGTTGATCATCTTCCTTTCTTCTACTTGTGGAATTCCTTCTCTTTGCCAGTCCTTTTATCTAGGGCCTCCTCCACATTCCTTTGTTCTGCCAGTTTGGGAACTCCATGTTGTTCTTTATGCCCTTTCTAGTTCTCCCTTTGAACCCTTTGTAATGTGTTTCTTGTACCATTTTTCCCTTAAGACCTATATTCTCTATTTCCTGGCATGTGGTTGTTGTCATTCCGATATTTATGCCATTAATGATTCCCGCATCCTTTACCATTCCTCGTATGCTATCCGGATCAGGCCTTCCTTCCTAAGACATCAGCTGGTTGAGAAGGTTGTTGGGCCTCTTCGCCTATTTCTTTACCTTCCTTTTCACACCTGTTCTCCTGTTCGGCTCTGGATCATCTACTTTGTCTAGTTCATTAACTGCTATGTTATGTGGCTCGTACTGCCTCCTTTCATGGTTCTCATTCTTGTCTCTTTTGTTCCAAGGAATTCCTCTGTTCCCATGACATTTTCACCTATTACACTACTGGTTGAGTTTTTCAACTTGTACGACCGGCGTATTCTGATGCATCCATGGATGGTTGCCATCTATATCATGTTTTTTCACACCAAATTTGTCATCTAACTATGTATTTAGCTGCTTGCAACCTCCATCATGTGGAGGAGATCATTCAGGCTGATATGTCGATGACTCACACTACATCTGTCACTCTTTAACTGCACAACATAGCTGTGTCTTCCTTGAGCGGGTATCGTCTTCCTCCGTGGCAATTCTACACATGTCTGTTTGCCTTTGCTTGGTGTAAGTCAACATATTATTATTTTTTGCATTACTTCATTGATTTCAGGATCCCACTTGGCGGGATGTGGTGGCGGGTGTTACCTGGTCAGGTATGCTGAATATTATATCTTTGCACTAAATCTGTATACTTCCATAATGCCCACTGTAGAGATGGGGTGTTTCTGTAAGACCACCAACCGCTTATCTGGTGGTATGTATATATCTATATCTATTTTGGATTTTTTTCTTATCACTGTATCATATATAAAAGACTCACTCATGGACTTCATGAGTAGAGCAGATAGGGATTTTTGCCCATCCCTACTGACCTGTGATCCTTACAATCAGGGTCTTTCTGCTTTTCAAAATAGGGAATCACAGACATCTACTTTCAGTTCCCAGTCATTGGAGTGGTGGACCATAAAGGTTTCTTGTGGAGTGGGATTTGTATGATAAAACAAACTTTCTAGTCATATATACCCACTCTGTTAGAAGAGAGCTATTGTTGTTACATTTCATATTATACATTATAATAATATGTTCAATCCAAGATGCTTCTCCTAAATGTTTTTTACTCAGATAAGCTGCACTTGTTAATCATAAAATACAAATTTTATGGAATGTGCTTCTACTGAATGTTTTCTGCCTGGATGGACTGCACTTGCTATTCTCAGTAAAACACGAGGCATTACTCCCAGATATTTTTGCCCAGGCTGACCACACTTATTGATAACACAATCTGTTACGTACAATATATGAAACAAAAAATATTATGCAAGGTGCTTACCCCAGATGTTTTTTGCCTGGGTGGACCACACTTGTTGATCTTACAATCTTATGCACAGTGCTTCCACTGTTGTTTTTAACTGGATGGACTGCACTTGGCGTAATCTGATATATTCCAAGGTGCTTCCTCTGGATGTTTTTTGCCCGGGCAAACCACACTTGGCCTGTTCATATACATTTATGGTCCTTGTGTCAGATTAATACAGCTTTAGGTATCAAGTCCTGGACTGTAGACTGAAAGTGGCTAGGTAAAATATTTTATAGTTTAGTAAAGACCAACTGTACACTAAACCTAAAGCTGTATTAATCTGACACAAGTCCTGGACTGTAGACTGAAAGTGGCTAGGTAAAATATTTTATAGTTTAGTAAAGACCAACTGTACACTTGTCAGATTAATACAGCTTTAAGTTCAGTGTAGAGTTGGTCTTTACTAAACTATAAAATTTTGCATGTACTCGTTTGTCATACTGTGTTTATTACTATTTACAGTATTCATGCACAGAGTTTGATGCTTTATTTATAAACTGTTGTAATCTGTGATTTCAGAAGGGGGGTTCTTTGTTTTTCACTACTGTCAACAGGACATGGTTGTCATACGTTTTGGCCATTTGCATTGCTGAATGGGGTTTGAGGATAGTTCCGAGAGGAACACATGAATGGAGCAAGTTTATTCCACCTGTTAATCTGAAAGAACAACTAGAGTCAAGTAAGACCACTACTGTAATATTGTGTATATTTAAAATTTAGTTACTTATCTTTGATTACAGTGAGTTTATAAAAAAGTGTTTCAATTGATTAACACCTTCTGATTCTAATTATAATTAAAGTAAATCAGAGTTGATCTAAAAATGTAATAATATAACCTAAAATTGTCAAATGACCCACCTTCCTTACAAAACCATTGGGTAATCCAGTACGTCAAGTATGACTGATGTTCCCTTTCCTGGCAGAACCATTGGGTAATCCAGTACATCAAGTATGACTGATATTCCCTTTCCTGGCAGAACCATTCGGTAATTGGTATGTCAAGTGTGACTGATGTTCCCTTTTCTTGCAGATCTGTTGGGTAATCCAGTACATCAAGTATGACTGATATTCCCTTTCCTTGCAGAACTGTTGGGTAATTGGTATGTCAAGTATGACTAATGTTCCCTTTCTTTGCAGAACCATTGGGTAATTGGTACATCAAGTATGACTGATGTTCCCTTTCCTGGCAGAACTGTTGGGTAATCCAGTACGTCAAGTATGACTAATGTTTCCTTTCCTTGCAGAACCATTGGGTAATCAAGGCCCTTATTGTATTGAGTACCACTGGTTGTTCAAAAGTAGGGGCAAGTATATATATATATGAACCCAAGGGTCCTATAATCTACCTTTTCAGCCCATGTGCACATAAAAAAAAAATGTGGGCTTTAGACCCCTTTGTTGGTTATACCAGGTAGGGCAGGTTGATACCCATAATAATTTCAGGGTTGTCAAACACTAAGTCTGTAAATATCGGGTTATGGGGTGTAACCCCCTCCCCCATACAATTTAATAAAGTAGTTGAGTTAAACTCAACACTTGAAATTTGTGTTGCAATAGTTAGAATATTTTTTACTTCCTACATTTGATCCTACTATGTGAAAATAATCATATAATACCTGTATTGTGGTGGTTTAAAATGCTTTTCACAATTACTAAGTTATTTTACTTTGATCAGAAGTTCTTGATAATAAAAAATAATAATCATTTTTCTATTTGATGATCACTCTAGAACAATAATTTCCAACTTTTCTTTACTAGAGAACTGTCATATTCAGTTGCTACATGGCATGTGTTACAACCCAGTCACAAGGAAGTGGTCATGGATTACTGATAGCAGTGTCAACTATGCCCTCCATGCTGTCAAGCTGAACGAGACTCACACCACATAGAGAATTCAAAAACATTTTTGTGATAATGTGTTTAGTTGTTTCAGTAATATATGCAAGAAAGAACAATAACTTATATTTAATTAAAAGTGCTCATCCTCAATAAAAAAAAATAACTAAAATTAAAGGTCTTAGTGTTTAAAGAAAATGTTCCCATTTCATACTTCTATTAATAACAAATGTTGAGAATTGAATAAATTGAAGATACTTGCTGTACTGTTTATTAAATGAGCTTATTGTATATAGTTGTTCACAATGTACCTTGGCTTTCACTATATTATTATGTTGAATATTGTAACTTATGAAATTTCCCCAACCAATAATATTGTTTTACTAATATAGTTCATAGACAAACATTCTCTTACCATATAGCACATTCCATTCTTGATAAAGTAGTAATATAGTTGACAGACAATGGAATGTGCTATATGGTAAGAATGTTTGTCTGTCAACTATATTACTACTTTATCAAGAATGGAATGTGCTATATGGTAAGAATGTTTGTCAACTATATTACTACATTATCATGAATGTAATGTGCTATATGGTAAGAGAATGTTTATCTGTCAACTATATTACTACTTTATCAAGAATGGAATGTACTACATGGTAAGAATGTTTGTCTGTCAACTATATTACTACATTATCAAGAATGGAATGTGCTATATGGTAAGAATGTTTGTCAACTTTATTACTACATTATCAAGAATGGAATGTGCTATATGGTAAGAATGTTTGTCTGTCAACTATATTACTACATTATCATGAATGGAATGTGCTATATGGTAAGAGAATGTTTATTGATAAAGTAGTAATACAGTTGATAGATAAACATTCTTACCACGTAGTACATTCATTCTTGATAAAGTAGTAATATAGTTGACAGATAAACATTCTCTTACCATGTAGTACATTTCATTCTTGATAAAGTAGTAATACAGTTGATAGCCATACATTCTCTTACCATGTAGCGCATTCCATTGTTGATAAAGTAGTAATACAGTTCATAGACATACATTCTTACCATGTAGCACATTCCATTCTTGATAAAGTAGTAATACAGCTGATAGATAAACATTCTTACCATGTAGCACATGTCATTGTTGATAAAGTATTAATGTAGTTGATAGATGTACATTCTCTTACCATGTAGTACATTTCATTCTTGATAAAGTAGTAATATAGTTGATAGACAAACATTTGTACCATGTAGTACATTCCATTCTTGATAAAGTAGTAATACAGTTGATAGATAAACATTCTTACCATATAGCACATTCCATTGTTGATAATATAGTAATATAGTTGACAGACAAACATTCTTACCATGTAGCACATTCCATTGTTCATAAAGTAGTAATATACTTGATAGACATACGTTCTTACCATGTAGTACATTCCATTCTTGATAAAGTAGTAATACAGTTCATAGACATACATTCTTACCATGTAGCACATTCCATTGTTGATAAAGTAGTAAGACAGTTGATAGATAAACATTCTCATACCATGTAGTACATTTCATTCTTGATAAAGTAGTAATATAGTTGATATACAAACATTCGTACCATGTAGTACATTCCATTCTTGATAAAGTAGTAATACAGTTGATAGATAAACATTCTTACCATGTTCTACATTCCATTCTTGATAAAGTAGTAATAAAGTTGACAGATAAACATTCTCTTACCATATAGCACATTCCATTCTTGATAATATAGTAATATAGTTGACAGACAAACATTCTTACCATGTAGCACATTCCATTGTTGATAAAGTAGTAATATAGTTGATAGATAAACATTCTCTTACCATATAGCACATTCCATTGTTGATAAAGTAGTAATACAGTTGATAGACATACATTCTCTTACCATTTGGCACATTCCATTCTTGATAAAGTAGTAATACAGTTGATAGACAAACCTTCTTACCATGTAGCACATTCCATTGTTGATAAAGTAGTAATATAGTTGATAGACAAACATTCTTACCATGTAGCAAATTCCATTGTTGATAAAGTAGTAATATAGTTGATAGACATACATTCTTACCATGTAGTACATTCCATTCTTGATAAAGTAGTAATATAGTTGATATACAAACATTCTTTTACCATGTAGTACATTTCATTCTTGATAAAGTAGTAATATAGTTGATAGACATACATTCTTACCATGTAGCACATTCCATTCTTGATAAAGTAGTAATAAAGTTGACATATAAACATTCTCTTACCATATAGAACATTCCATTCTTGATAATATAGTAATATAGTTGACAGACAAACATTCTTACCATGTAGCACAAATTCCATTGTTGATAAAGTAGTAATATAGTTGATAGACATACATTCTTACCATGTAGTACATTCCATTCTTGATAAAGTAGTAATATAGTTGATATACAAACATTCGTACCATGTAGTACATTCCATTCTTGATAAAGTAGTAATACAGTTGATAAATAAACATTCTTACCATGTTCTACATTCCATTCTTGATAAAGTAGTAATAAAGTTCACAGATAAACATTCTCTTACCATGTAGCACATTCCATTCTTGATAATATAGTAATATAGTTGACAGACATACATTCTTACCATATAGCACTTTCCATTGTTGATAAAGTAGTAATGTAGTTGATAGACGTACATTCTCTTACCATGTAGTACATTCCATTCTTGGGAATGTGCTACATGGTAAGAGAATGTTTATCTGTCAACTATATTACTACTTTATATTTTTGGTAAAGTAGTAATATAGTTGATAGACATACACTTTCGTACCATGTAGTACATTCCATTCTTGATAAAGTAGTAATATAGTTGATAGACATACATTCTCTTACCATGTAGCACATTCCATTCTTGATAAAGTAGTAATACAGCTGATAGATAAACATTCTTACCATGTAGCACATTCCATTGTTGATAAAGTAGTAATATAGTTGATAGACATACATTCTCTTACCATGTAGCACATTCCATTCTTGATAAAGTAGTAATACAGCTGATAGATAA